AAGCTTACACATCTTCCGGCGCAGACTGAAAACTCATCTCTTTCGACTCCACTTCGAGCGATAGAATTATTAACAAAGAATTGCTAACAGAGCCCTTATATACTAATAAAGGACTGGCTTATCTAAAGCCAGTTGAGTAGCACTTGAAATGTTTTTGCTCTATGAAACCTGATGTACTTATATGATTCTGTTTTCTTCAAGTTTGTATCTTGTTGGTCGAACGCACTTATTGTAAGTCGCTTTGGATAAAAGCGTCAGCTAAATGCAATGTAATGTAGTCGACCAGAACCAGCCATTTCCTCCTGCAGAAAGTAGACAATCTCCTCCAAGTCCGCTTCTCAAGTCACTTATGAAACTACGACTTTAATCTCGTAATTATTACTTTATTCTCGTAATTATGACTTTATTCTCGTAATTATGACTTTATTCTCGTAATTATGACTTTATTCTCGTAATGTTACGACTTTATTCTCGTAACTATGACTTTATTCTCGTATTATTACAACTTTATTCTCGAAATCTCTCTGTTTTTTTTTTTCTTCTAAGGTGTGGCCCTAATACTCCGTTGTAATATATTGCTCATTTTCCATAAAATAATTTTTTTATTTTAAACTAATACCGAGTCCAACAGTGTCCGTTTTATTAAAAACTTGTGGTAAAATATATTTGTAAAAAAAAAATGAAGAGCAGCTGAGTGACCGCAGTGCAGAATCGCTGTATAGTTTAAATCTCCTAACAATGTTGTCCATTTTAGACATAGATTTATTATATTTACAGCCCTTAATAACATTCATTTTCTGGCCGTTTTCGTTGTGATCGCTAAATTCCACTTGTTTCCCCTTGTTTATAATATTATCACCGTTCCAAGCAAACGAGTGCTTTTGTTTTGAAATCACTTCCGCGAGTTTCGCGGCCCCCCTCGCTACAATTATCATTAGACCATTTAGTAAGGTAACAAACAAAAAGCAAAAACGCCTCTCAGACGCTCTTCCGTTTACTTGTTTAATAAAGAAAAACAAATGGTCCGTAGATACACGGATTCATCTCCCTCAATCATGTTGATTTGAATCAGAAGTTCTGAACATGAGTCCGCCCCGCTCGACCTTCTGAGCCAATCACAGCGCGATAATGACCTGCCTTCCGTTTCAACCATACTCCTTCCGTTTCCACTATACTTTCTCTCACACATACGCATTCTTCTCTTGCATACATATATTGTCTTCAGACATGCATATATGTGACCTGCTCTATCGAAATCAGTCGCATTGACCCGAAGACACATTTTGAGTTGTATACACTGTTGGAAAGAGGATATTCCTCGCTTTCTAATGATATCAGGATTGTTTTTGTACTCCAAATATTAAGCGAAATATGTCACATTATATAATGACTGTCACCGAGTCATCATTTTGAGAAAAAGGCCTTCAAAGTTTTCTCTTCTCTGGAATCCATCGATCCGATTGATTATTAGCAAATGATCAAAATACTATGGAGGGAAGATATTTTCGTTTGGATTACTGGTCTGAGGGAAGCTCGCGAGTGTGTGTGTATACATGTGTGTGTGTTTGTGTAATTTTGCGTTTGTGTGTATTGTGTTTGTTTCCCGGGGAAAACCCTCACGAGAAACACCGGCTGTTGTTATGCCTGCTGTGACGTCAAGTTACTCCGTTCTCCGCTTGTAATTATGCCGAAGCTTCAACGTTGTATTTATCTTCTGAATTTGCCGAAACAAGTTTAATATTCTGAAAGCCAAGACTTTGTTTAATTGAAATCAGATGAAAACAAACTGTAACGGACCCTGCCGTGTTATCAATGATTACTATACGCTTACATTGATAATTTCAGCCGGAGGGAGGGGGGGGCGGTGCTGCAGAAGAGCAGATTGCGAGTGAGAGGTGCCTGTCTTCTTCAAACATGTATTTATCGTGTGATTTTGGAAATAAAAGTTTCATATTCTGAAAGCCAAGACTTTGTTTGTTTAAAATCAATCAAAACAGCCGAACCCCGAAAAAATAGTTTTTTACGCAAATCCACGTTTATTTTGAAATGAGCCGTTGCGACTTCCGACTGATTTTGATAGAGCGGGTCACATATTATTTATAATATTAAATGTAAACATTGAATGAATGTGCATGAGAGCAAAATGTATAAATATGAGCATTAAAATATATGAATATGAGAGCAAAATGTAAAAATGTGTGAGTGAAAAACTTATAAATATGTGAGTGACAATGTATGAATGTGTGCATTGAAATATGCTAATATGAGAGCAGAATGTATGAATGTGTGAGTATAAATATATACGTGTGTCAGAGTGAAAATGTACGTATGTAAAAGGAGAATGTACGTGTGTAAGAGTGAATATATATGTATGTAAAAGGAGAATATATGTGCGTGAGAGGACCAGTATGAATTACGGCCTGTACGGCCCCTCATACAATAGCGCATTTAGTGTGATAGAGAGAGAGGGAGAGGGAGAGGGGAGAGAGAGGGACCGGTGCCAGCAGGGACCGTGTTGTTAGCATCTGGTTAGCTAGGTAGCTGCACTAACTGACATACTGTAAGGAGCTGTTCAGGGGCGGGCCAGGGGGGGGCAGTGCCCCCCTAACACTGACTTTGGACACCCCTGTGGCCCCCCTGTAAATTAAAATAAAAAAAAGAATAATTTTTGATTCAATGATTTCTTGGCTGACGGAATAGGCGTAACTAACGCTATTTGTCATTCTAGTCGGACCCATTAGACCCTACACGTCGATCGTGAGCTACCGGTAGCTCGCAAGCCCTCAATAAATAGCTCGCCAAGCAAATCCAAAATGTAAAAAATACACACACAAAAAAAGGAAATGTAATTAAAAGAATCTACCCTATGCATAAACGAAACCTCAATCATAGCGAACTCTATCTACTTGCTACAACTCTATATCTATCTAACACCCCTCCTCCCCCACAATGAATATCGACCAATCACGTTCTTGCAACAGTTTAAAAGGGGAGTGATTAGTCAAATATGCATAAATAGAAAGAAAGAATGCTAACTATAGGTAACATAAGATAAGAATAAACAAGTTTAAATGATTTGTTATTGGTTGTGATCATATTCTAAAGATGTATAGATCTAAAGAGGTGTAGTGTAGATTCTGCCAGAGGGAAAATCACGGTCAAACTCTTTATGAAGTGGTGAGCTGCCGTGATTTGTCGATATTCATTGTGGGGTGGGGGGAGGAGGGGTGTTAGATAGATGTTTGGATAATTGAAAAGTATACAGCTCCCTTTCATCTGAGTGTGGAGAGCTGTATCCATAAATTAATGTTGTGCTCAAAGTGCACCAGATTGATGCATTTAACTTCCCATTTAAAAAAAATCTTCCCGAGAGGAGGTGAGGACCCCCCTAGAGGAGGTGAGGTCCACCCCCAAATAAAGCAGGTTAAAATTATTAAATTGAATACATGTTCTTTTAGTAAACACTGAAAACGGGTCCCACAGACCCAAACAGCACTCAAAGGTTAAAGGTAAGCGTATAATAATGTTAAAATGTGCTAAATATATACACTGCAAAAAACTAAAAAAGAGGAGTAAAAGTAGCTCACGACTTGTTGTTATTTTTTGAAAGTAGCTCTCATCCTAAAAAAGGTTGGAGACCCCTGCATTAGAGCGTAAACACTGTAACTATAAGTATCTGAAATAAATATGTGTAATGAAACAAATACCAATAACTGTATTGCATTGTTTTCTTATGCGCAATTACTTCATACTGTCTTTGTCTTTTTTGTCCTGCATTTATTGTGCCCCCCTCAGAAAATAACTGGCCCCAGCCTGGCCCCCCCAGTCAAATTGATCTAGAACCGCCACTGGAGCTGTTTGTTCCACAACAAGCTGGAGGAGAGTCATCTCCTGTCAGACTGAGGGGCTTAGATGTTTAGATAGTTCACTTTAGTCTAAGTTATCTCAGTGGGTCTCAAACGGTTTGGTCACAAATTATTCAAAAGATTATTTCCGCGGCACACCTTCATATGATCATTATAGTTATAAAACAAATAAGAGAATAAAGGAAAAACAGGTATGAAATACTATATGGCAGTAAAACAAGAATACAGTTTAAAAGGGGAGGGATTTGTAAAATATCCATAAAGAAAAAGAACATCTGCTTACAGTTGTGTTTCATATCTGTTGAAAGATGTATCCATATCTCTTAATGTTGCTCTCAAAGTGCACCAGATTGATGCTTATAACTTCAATATTTTAAAAAAAATCTTACGGGGGGAACATCCCCCCCGGACCCCCCTAGAGGAGGTGAGGTCCGCCCCCCACTCATAAAAAATAGCACTTCACCCCTGCCTATATGCCGTGAGCTGATTATCAAGCCTTCATTGTAACGGCCCGTCCACATAGCGGCTTTGGAAAAAGCTAGCCGGCGGGCGTGTCTGAAGCTCGACCAACAACCAATCACATGAATCTCCCGCCCCTGACACACAAGCAGCGGTTTGATTGGCTAGAGCTTGTACTGGCATATGATTTGATTGGCTGACGCTTCCACCGAAAGCTTCAGAAGCTTCAAAAGTTGAACATTGCTCAACTTTTGCAGCCTGAAACGCCAGGAAAGCTCCGCTCTGCTTCCCACAATGCAGTTGGGCGAAAAGTGACGTCACCCCATTCAAAGTGAATGGGCAGAAGCTTCCAACGCCGCTGTGTGGACGGGCCGTAACAGTCGCGGGTGTACTGTGTGTTTGCGTGTGGGGAGTGTTGCATTAGAACATTCCACTGTAGCGCCGCGGCCGCCGCCACTGTGGGCTAAGCCACGAATGTTTCCAGGTCCAGGCGACGCCCCTGTACGTGTATATAATTATATATGTGACATTTCTAGATAATATTGTCGCATCAAGTGGCATTTTACTGTTGTAGACACACACAGTCTGATAGACTTCAGAGGGTTCAGAGGGTGAGCTCTGTGACACTCTGTGTGTCTGCATGTATTCTGTGTGTCTGTAGAAATGCTCACTCACTATGCCATTGGACATGAGGTGGTGCCAGTGCAGCTTCCTGCCGCTGTGGTTCCTCTTGTAGAAGTCCTCCACCTCAGGGATCAGGTCCTCCAGCTCCGTGGGCAGAGAGACGAACACCTTCTCACTGCTGCGGGACCACGCTCCAGCGTTCAGGATCTTAATGTTCACACTGTCCGCTGCAGGGAAATATAACGGAAGAACTCTGATAAGTCTGTGTTACATGGACGCATCAACATTTAACTGTGAAGGTTAGATTCAAACTGAATGTTAGCTTGAAGTAAATGTTGTCTTTTTGCATTATTTTCTTGTTAGAAAGTACCAGAATGCGTAGTTTACATGTTAAAAGAGGATGCCCCCAGACCCCTTAAAAAAGACGGAGATCCTTGGCTTCCTCAATAATTGTCCCCACCCCCCCCAACACATATATAATGGTTCCTACAAAAACAGTCTCTAGCCTGACAGTGAGTCTGTAAATCCTGTCTATACAGGTGTTTCTAGCAAATAGTATGGAGATTAGTGTGTACAAAAACATGGGTGGCGCGCAATACAGTTTTATTTGTATCTGAAAAAAGTGTCCCCACCACTTTGGAAAACAAAGTGACGCCCATGCTTGCAGGTGCATGTCTCGTCAAGAGTTTCACCTTAATGAGGAGAAAATAAATGAAAGATTTTTGCCATAATGTGTTTGGAAAGCATTGAGCATACGACTGGATAAATGAGACTAGGACATTCATGCATTTTAGAATATGTGTGTGTGTGTGTGTTACCTGGTAGTGCGAGCTTGTTGTGTTTGTGCATCTCCTTGAAGACCTGGTTGAGGTCCTCTGAGACCTTGATGTCCTGAAACATCCTGGCCAACTTGTTCACATAGTCAGCAGGCATTCCTACCTCCTACAAACACACACAGGACACAATGAGGAGAGCAAAGGGGAAATGAATTCACCAAACCTGGTACAAAGGCACAAAACTCTTGGTCAGATTATTTCATTTGAATAATACAAAACAAATTGGATGAAGGAAACGGTTGTTTTCATTTGGTTGCGTTGTACCCCCATTGGTGCATGCGTCAGCATTGTCTGTCAGATGCTGTCAGAAATGGACTTTTTCTCCAGTTAAAGGCACATCTTTATGATGCATATTAGATCTTGATTGTTTTACCTGAATATGTTTTAATGGTTTTGATTGAAACCCCTCTGAGTAGTAAATTACATATTGTAAATAATGATCAGTATTCAGAAACATTTTACTTAAAGTCTTGTTCAAATTAGTAAAATGACCCAAGAACATCCATGGATAACAGATGGGACTCCTGCCTGTTGTCCTTGCTCCTTAGTACAGCTCCTAAACTGTGGACTCACAGTCTGCGTGTGACAAAGAAGGGTAATGAAAGGGAACTCACTCTCAGCCACTCCACCATGTTCTCCTCAATCTCGCTGTCTGCTGAAATGTCCAGAATCAGGCGCCGGGTCAGATGTGCTTTGTGGTAACGCATGAACACGTCTTTATTCTGAACGTACTTCAACACCAGCAGCTACAAGGAGGAAAGAGAACAACAGGGTTTGAATTTCCGAGGATTATAATCCAAGCACTTTGAAGGAAAGGTAAGTGTAAGAGTGTCATCAAGTGCCTTTACCCCGAGGCTGTAAGGACAGAGACTCACCACTTCTTTGAGCTTGAGCTCAATCTCCTCTGAGGTGAGTTTCTTGCTGAGCGTGGTTTTCCTTAGCAGCATGTCACAGTAGTTAGCCAGCAGCTCCGGACACTTGGACTCCGGCTGAGTCTTCATACCAACACTATAGATGGATGGACACACAATTACACAGAGCTGGAAGATGAAAAAGTACAGCATTCCATTTGTCACATGATGCTCTGTTCTGACCTTGAGTTTTCATCCCTTTTCTTAACTGCAGTGCTCCCACGCCACGGTTAGATTTTCTTACTCATCTTGGTCTCAATATGGACTAAAATAATCAAGATTATGATTTTTGGCATAAAGGAGTAGCCAAAAGAACTACGCCGTTGTGACTCAATCAAACAGAATACACTATCTTGCAGTGACACTTTGAACACTGGATCATTTCCTATCTTAGTGACACCGAGAGGTTTCCTCACCCCTTCTGTTTGGTTGGCAGTTCCAGTTTGAAGATGGTGGCGTCATTTACCACGGCCTTGTAAGCCTGCAGGGGGAAAAGGGAGGATCAGACAACAGTTTGTTTTAGTGACGAAAATGTGTTAACTTTGTAAAATAATGTGTTAGTTATACTTTAGATTTATCAAAAGTCAAAAGACACTGAAAATGTTTAATGTTTAGTAATGCTATTTAGGGTAGGTTACTAGTAGGTTACTAGTAGGTTACTTATAAATCCCCTTATAAGTCCTGATAAGATTTGTATTAACAAAACAGTAAACGCCTCAACAGCAGTGCCAACTGTTGTTGGACTGCCCCCCCCCCTCCCTTGGGGGAATTCCTCCACAGAAAACACACTGGACGCTGCACTAGGTCAGAAACCAGAGGAGACTGTGAAGTCCACCGCAGACGGACCACTTTTGGACAGAATGTCCTCTCCGTTAAAGGCAGCTCTTTGTGGAACAGCCTCCCAACTGAGATACGGGATTTTCCCACTCTCAATAGCTTTTAAAGGTCAACTCAAAGAATGGTTGAGAAACAAACATCCGTGCAATCACCGCTAAATGCACTTTAACACAGGGGTATCTCTTCTTGCACTTTATGTAGCTCTTTTATCTTCTCTGGCACTTTATACGTCGTAGCTGCACATTGTACTGCCATGTGGTAAATGCTTGTATGCTGCTCATGCTATTTCTGAATATCATGTATTTTGTTTTTTGCTATGTTTATAAATGTCATGTTCTTATATGTTGTATGTCAGGGACTACAGATGGAAATGAGCTCAAAGCTAAAATCTGACATATCTACACTTGAAGCATTATTTGTCTTAAGGGTTCATTAATGTGCATTGTCCCTATTCAAATAAACGATGAAATGAAATGAAATAAATCCACTTGTAACTGTTATCCATTTCTGCTTTAAAAGAACACAGACACAAACAAGTTTGGTATCCTGGTGTATTCAAACCAATACAGTGTATGAAAAGGTTAGGAATAAGAAAATAAAATGCTTTAAAAAGTAAAACAAGGGAGGCTCTACATTAAAACATTAAGGAAGGGACTTAAGGTAGATCAGTCTGTATCTCTGCTCTGCTTTTATTCCAGCTGTGAATGAGGTTAAGCAAGGCTGCGTTGTTTCTGAGGTCCTAACGTTAGGGGTGTATTCCTGTTCTGTGCAGATCATTGGTGTAGGACTCAGACAGCTGTAGGCTTTGACTATCCAACAATGACCTTTGCTCACTTAAAATGCAAATACAGTGTGAGCAGGAATGAACTGTATGACTTTAGCACTGAACATTATATGTCATGTGTTTCTTGTTGTCTCTGGAGGTCACATTGCACAGACCTTGTCTCTTGCAGTGAGGAAGCGAGGGTCGTCCTGGAAGGCTTCCTTCACCAGCTTACTGAAGCGGTTAAACAAAGTCAGCAACTGCTCAACGTACTTCTCCGAGTCCTGGACGAACAAACATACAAACATTTGGAAATAATGCACATGTTGTGAAGATACCCTCTTTCATTAATGTTAATGTTGTTCACTACACACTGTGAGAACTCAATAGCGTTGAAGTTAATTTCCTTAAGGAAACAAATCAACTACAATATGGGTTTTAGATCTGGGATATCTTAAATGAATACGTTATTTTGTTAATGTCTTTCTCCACACTTGTCTGACACCACTAAATACTTAACAATTGGGTTGTATTGACTTTCCTTTTAACAATTGTTACGTAATAATAATAATAATAATAATGGTGTGATGGGAAATGTTGGCTGGACTAAGCAAACCCTGTGAAGTGTCACTAAGGGCTTTCTGTGTTCTCATTATTTTCACAACATTTACTAACCAAATAATGAATCTATTATTGGAGCCACTAACCAGCCGATTAATCCATAATGAAATCATCTTTGGTAAATGAGGTCCACCTGAACTAACTACGACTTTTAAGTCCTACGTTAATAGTATAGCAGTCACATGGGACATTTGTCTACGTTTTCTTCTTTAAATACATTGTCCTGAACATACTTCACATTTTCTTGCTGGACCTTACATGTAACGGGGCTTTCTAATAGAGTGGTATGAGACTTCGCGAGGCGAGGCGAGCCTCACCCCCCCCCCCCCCAGTCGACGCTAGCGAAACGGAGGGCCTCATCATATAACTTTGTGTGGGGCCTCATGTTGGCCAGGGACAGCCCTGTGTGTGTGTGTATGTGTGTGTGTGTGTGTGTGTGTGTATGTGTATGTGTGTATGTGTGTATGTGTGCGTGCATGTTTGTGTGTGTGTGTGTGTGTGTGTATGTGTGTGTGTGTGTGTGTGTGTGTGTGTGTGCGTGTGTGTGTGTGTGCATGTGGGTGTATGTGTGCGTGTGTGTATGTGTGCGTGTATGTGTGTGCGTGTGTGTATGTGTGCGTGTTTGTGTATGTGTGTGTGTGCGTGTGTATGTGTGCGTGTGTGCGTATGTGTGTGTGCGTGTTTGTGTGTGTGTGTGTATGTGTGCGTGTGTGTGTGCATGTGTGTGTATGTGTGCGTGTGTATGTGTGCATGTATGTGTGTGTGTGTGTGTATGTGTGCGTGTGTGTGTATGTGTGCGTGTTTGTGTGTGTGTGTGTATGTGTTTGTGTATGTGTGTGCGTGTGTGTGTACGTACAGTAGTGATGGTCTCTGCAGCAGCCACCATGTCAGCGAGGCCAGCGTTACAGATGTGGTCCTCCAGGTCCTTCAGCATGGGCTCAATGCCGCTGGGGACCTTGTCCATCAGAGAGAACATCAGGTGCAGCCCTGCTCCGGGGGGGGGGGGGACAACATCATTAATATTAGCTTATATTCAGGCCTACTATTTGAACAATTAGGTATGGCCCTACCAGCAGACTGTTCTCAATAAGTCTTTCTTTGAAGCTGTGAACATCTGCATCATGACTGTGTCGATGAAACTCTCTGATTATTGCACAACCACTCCGAGCAATGACTGAAGTTTGTTTATCACAAATGTAAAATCAACATTTCCTGTTCCACTCAATTCATTACTTTTCAGTATGATTTTAAGGCAAAGGCAACATTATACAATATTTAATTGTTTATTAACTTAATGTCTAGTAAACTCACATCTCTTACTTCATTTGAGGTAATCTATGATACATCCGGGCGTTTCAGGTGAAAACTAAATCCACATTAAGCCATTTTACAGCACTACAAACTCAATTTGAGTCCTTCTTAGGATGAATCCTCAGTGGTAGGGAGAATGTTGAAGCTATTGAACTTCATATTTACAATGACTCAAATATGAACAGTATGTTGACATGCATTTAAACAGAACCTGCGTCTTTTACATTTAGCAAGTCTTACTTTTACATTCTAGATAGAGAAAACAAAGATGTCAGTGAGTGCAGCCGTACTCACTGTCTGTTTCGTTTCGTTTGATCATCCCAGGACTTTCCACTAGGATGGTCTCTTTGAACGATGTCACCAGAGCATTCACACAACACTCCATTAGCTGAGGACACACAGCAAGCACATGGGGTTTAGGGAAACTGACATGAACGCCATCATGTCAAAAAGTGAAAATACAGGCAGGTCGGCAGAGTGTCAATAGATAGACAGCAGCAGCACACCCATTTAGTGGGTCATCATTTATAAGTGAGGATTGAGAAGGATTATCTTTGTGCCAGTGGAGGGCAGTGCAACAGCTGTAACCACAACAATGACATATTATAATGAAGATGGCAAACATGATGGTAAACACTTTCCTGTTTACACTCAATTTACATTCAATTCATGTCTAACATTCATTCCAACAAATCCTGACTTTCTAGCTGCTAAAGGTTGTACTTTCTCTAACTTCCTTTGCAGTTTGATGTTTTTTCCAGAGCTTTGTTTGCTGTTCTAGGCCAACAACAAATTGTACGTAATCTGATAAGAGGACCAGAAAACATGTGAACATTAAGTTAGAATTGATCATTCAGATCCTGTTAGACACTTACTGCTTGAACAGAGTTACATTCGCGACGTGTCTCGAGATATCTGAGTGCTCTCTTCTCCTCTTCTCTTAGTTTTGCATCTGCCTGCAGGGAAACACACACCAAAGAAATCAAAGTTATTAACAACAATTACATCTCCCTCACGTCAAATCCTACGTGACTCCATGTGTCTGTTATTACCACAGCTCACATGAAACTACTGGAGCGTAAATTCATTTGTCGGCACATGTCGGGACCCCCTTGAAAAGGAGATGGTGCATCTCAAGGGGTTTATCCTAATAGATACATTTCATATAACATTAACAGCAATCATCCCTTCATCAGAGCATTCATTAGTGACATTATTTTCCACTTTTCAACCACATCCCTCAAACTAACACTTTTACTTGTAATAATAAGTGTTATTACAGCTTACATATTTCATGTAGTTCTGTACGCCATTCTGTTGCAGGTAAGACGGTGCTTGTGTTCTGTAAAACCTCTCTGTGGAGTCCAGGTAGGCTTTCTCAAAGTTATCCCTGTAGATCTGCAGCTTGTCCTCTGGGTTGGAGCACAGGTTCACTGGGGGGACAAGAGCATATTGAACATGAATAGTTACAGTAGATCTACAGAAGAAGTGGTTTATTGATAAATGATTGTACTTATTTGTTTTTCTGCACCTATTAGCAATAATAATGCCTTCCATGTGTTGTCATGGTTATCTTACCATAGGACTCCCGTACTCCTATGACGAGCTGCGAGTCGAAGGCCTCCCCCTGCCTCTCAGCGTGCACCAGCTTCATGGCGCTGTCCTGCAGGCGACTCTTAATGTTGGAGAAGATCGACTCGTTCCACGTGTCCAACATGAGCTGAAAAGTAGGTGAGGGCGGTCTAAGTTAGAGCAGTATCTAAATGTGTATCAAGAGGAACATCCATCCATATTCTTCCGCTTATCCGTGGTCGGGTCGCGGGGGTAGCAGTTCCAGCAGAGAGCCCCAAACTTTCTTTTCCCTGGCCACATCAACCAGCTCTGACTGGGGGATCCCAAGGCGCTCGCAGGCCAGCGAAGAGATATAATCCCTCCACCTGGTCCTAGGTCTACCCCTTGGTCTCTTCCCAGCTGGACGTGCCTGGAACACCTCCCTAGGGAGGCGCCCAGGTGGCATCCTAACTAGGTGCCCGAACCACCTCAACTGGCTCCTTTCGACGCGAAGGAGGAGCGGCTCAACTCCGAGTCCCTCCCTGATGACTGAAGTTCTCACCTTATCCCTAAGGGAGACGCCAGCCACCCTGCGGAGTGTTAAATTGCTTTGGTTTTTTATGATTTAAGGTTCCTTTACTACGGAAACCCATCCATGCCAGTGGAAATTAAAGATTAAAAATGAGCCTCGTGATGAAAAAAAGATGACTCAGTATCTAAACATTGTGAGGAACTTCCTAAAGATAATGGTTTAGTTGGTCAAAATAATGAAACTTTTTAAACATTATAACTCAAGGACATTTTTCAAAAGATATTCACTTTTTTATTTGGAAACATTAAGATGGTTTTATTTTCCATCACATTGGAGGAAATGGGTTTCCATACTTTCTTGTAACGCCATCTCTTACTTTATTTGATCATTTTACCATCAATTGTCCAAGAGTGGTTCGGCCTACCTGCTGCTCCCCTCTTCAGCTATTTACTTCCTCATTACATTGTTGAGCTTATAGTTGCTCAGCTTCGCTCTCCCCATCCTGAGCCCCTCCTCGTCTCACCTTCCGTACAATGCTGTCCTCCATGTTGGTTTTCTTGTTGCTGCCCTGTTTTCCCATGAGCGTGATCTCCAGCTGACAGAAGGGTTTGGGCAAGATGTCGCACTGGGTGAAGAACTTCCTCCACTCCACGATGTAAGCCTTCAGCAGTGCAGTGTCATCCTGGTGGCTCAGAACCCGCTGCCATGACAACAAATACCAGCAACAGTTAGAGGATATAGAACAAATGAATACTGAGAATGTTATTTCCCTGCAATTATTGTTCTGCATGTTATTGTCTATAACGTTTTCTGAAGCAAATGTGTTAATGAGAGGCAGCATCGAGACCACACATGTCAAACTCAAGGCCCGGGGGCCAAATCAGGCCCTTGGTGGATTTAATTTCAGCCCGCAGGATCATTTCTAATTCCTATTAGATCTGGCCCTCCGGTATATTGCACACACACCTTCACTCCATCCTGAGGGTCTCCTCCGCTCAGAGCCTGAGCCCAAACATTGATGACCTTGCACCCGAGATGAGATGCCAAGTATCTGAGCTAGCATCACAGAGCAGCACACTGAGCTCAATGGATGCTTCCTTCTGCACTTTCTCTCACGACAACAGGGCATGTTTGGTTTTCTCTTTGAGGGGAATAGTTTTGTTGAAGCTGTTGTTGGCCTGTGGAAAAATGTACTCATAAGAAATGACTCTGAAAGCTGCATATAGAGCCATAAGAAATGAATGCAGCTGATTATTTAATGTTTAATGTTGTTTTTATAGGCAATCATTTAAGCTTTGTTAGTTCCAGGTTTAATATGTGCAATAAGTTCATTTCAATAAGTCCTGCATTGAACATTGAACCAGTCCGGCCCTTCACTAGTACCCATTTTTTTATTTTGGCCCACTGTGTATTTGAGTTTGACCCCCCTGGTCTAGACAATGGACCAGTGCATTCACTTTATTATAGAGTATGGATGCTCTGTGGAACAATGCTGGAGTGTGTAGAGCTTTGGAAGGCCCAATCTATCCATCCTCCTCTTCTACTTGAGCAACTGCAAACTGGGCCGCAGTCCTTCATGCACCTTGTGATGTGCTTAACAGGGACCATTTCTATTTTCCAAACAACTAATGTGTTTTCTTTTGTAGTATAGTGAAGTCCACACCAAATCGAAGCTCTTTTGTTCTGAAGTGGATAGGTATATGTTATAGATTTGTATAGGTTCATTTGACAAAAGTAAAGGTAAAAACAAGACTGCATTTACAGCATTGCAGTCATACAATTCAGTTGTGGAGAATACAGACACAGTACAGTAAAAGCTAACTTCCATTGTGGACCTTTTTGACTTAAGACTTTGTGCATCATCTGCAACAAATCACAGCATGACACATCCCAGACTGAGAAGAGACAAACGCATTGAGTATACAGCAAACAATACCAGGTTGGAGTTGTTTTCTCAACAACAACAACAACAACAACAGCAGCAGTGCCATTTCATAAACACTGGCATCATTTGTTAAAATTCCAAATGAACTGATATTTGTTAGTTATGATCATAAATATCAGAACAGGAAGCCAGTGTTGATTTGTGATTTGTGTTAAGGTAATAGTGTCAGTCTAATTCACGTTGGGATGTCCCAGAGCGAGGGGAATGGTCCTCTCCTTTCTCACAGATTCTGCTGATTCATTTTTGACATCCCTTTCAATATTTAACTTTTGTAAAGAGCATTTTCTGCCGTCTATATGTTCTATAATATCAAAAAGTAAACTAGTCAAAGTCAAAGTCAGCTTTATTGTCAAAATTACTACATGTGTTATACATCCAGAAATCTCGAGATACCGTTTCCCGCAGTCCCCAAACTATTGTTTGATGTTGGATGCTCACATTGTGCATGTATAGCAATAGCGTGAAAGGAACGTATTAAACAGCTAGCATGAATACACATTGAGACCATAGAGAGGGGGTGCTGCTCAGATCATTATGGTGCTTGTTTGCTTGTGTTTTGATTTTTTTAAAACCTTTTTCCCCTGTTAGTAATGCAAAAGAAAAAAACGTTTTCAAGACCTGTCTGATTTAAGAGAAATCACCTTAACTTTAAAAAGTGGCTTTTCTTTGTGCTTCCAATTTAATAAAGATATTTGATTTGTTTCTTTGTGGATAAGAAAGGAACATTCTCTCTGCATGTTTGACCCTGCACTACTGCATCCTTCAAGTCAATCTGCCTGCTTTCAATTCTGACTGGTGTGGTGTTGAAAGTGATACAGAAATGTTTCCATTGTGACCTTTAACGTTAAAGGGGTCAGGGTGCTTAGTAGGACACGATAGCAACATGTTGGATTGCCACCAGAGGCCTGTAAGACGAAGCTGGTTCAACCTAACCTGGATATGTTTGAGTTATCCGGTTGGCCTAATCCAAAACATCCGCGCTCTCGCTGGTTATCAAGTGGATCGCTCAAGCCAGCCGTGTCCTATCTAGTTATGTGCGCGTTCACATGAAAGGGGTGGTATTTGGAGCATTCGACCAATCACAAACATGGATACTGACAGCGCAGCGTCATACTTCCTGGATGAAAAGTCAACTATAATATTAGACATATGAAGAAGTTAAACTTTAAACATCCATGACTTAAACACTTGATCCAGGATCAAAGCCACAGAGCTGCACCTGCAAGGTGAATACAGCTGGTAAAAGAACAAGTGTTTGAATGCGTACATTAACAGGTTTATGATATCACTGCCCCGTCTAAGACACCATCTGACTTTCATTACATTTGACTCGAGTGTTTCGTCAACTTAATGTGTTGCTTAAAATAATACTTCTGCATACAGTATGTGACACTGTGAGTGTTGCACGGCCAGATACGGCTCAGCTGACCTTGGAGATATATGATACATTATGATGTGATATGATCCGCACACTGAGCTCTGATTGGTCAGCAGGCAGTGCTTTCACTGAGTTGATCTCTTATCCTGCAACCTAACCTGCTCCGGAGCAGGTTAGCCGCTCAGCATCAGTTTATGGGCTCAGAACAGTCTCATAATACACACATGCACACAGAAGGAGTCACACTTGTATTTCCGGATCCACACTTGTGTTTTTCAATGCACACACAAATGTGTTCCGTTTCATATACATGTAAATAAAATCCAAATACAGAAAAAAGTTTTACATATGTATTTTTGATCCTCACATATTTGTTTTCCGTTTAAATCCTCTGCACCTGCTAACACAAACCGCTCTCTGTGCACGGATCGCTGTGCATTCGTGTGTGGGTTTTTTGAGACTCCCCTGACGGTCAGCCGATTCGTACTTGTAATTTTTTATATCTATAGCCAATCAGATGTCTCCTTCATTCTAAGCCAATCACATGAGCGCGCCCCCACGAGGGTAGATTTATTGCGTTCATGACGTAGCTCTTCATGTACGCATTTTGCACAGTCCAGAGCTGACAGGTCCATGGAGCCTGCCTGCAGGCGCTAATCTCAGGACACCCTCCACTCTCAGTACAGCGCCACTTTCCGAACAGGAAATGCACGCAAATACAAGCCTTTATATTATTAAGGTACAGCGCCACTTTCCGAACCATTGATGAATGCTTGTGTACACAAAAACGGCAGGCAAAACCGTTTTAAATGTGTGTTTCCTGTATGGCGATACAGCTGCTTTATTTATGTCTGTATGAAGTTGTTGTGAGTGTGGAGGGAGCAGCTACAGGTTAGCTTAGCCTAATCCATCAGTGCACTACGAAGCCAGTGCTAGACAGTGACCTGTTAACGGGGGGAGCCCCGCCGGTCATTATCGGCTGATATTCACTCTTAATAGTTTGATCGGTGCTCTCTATAAAGGCCGATCAGGAGAGCTGCATCTGATCGATATGGACATAAACGCGAGTGAAGTATAACCGGACGCGAGAGAGAGATCAGATCAGCTGCTGAGTCTGACTGAGACACGCAGCTCTGCATGATCACCTGATGCTCCGCCCTCTGTTTAGCGAGCTGACCGGACTGCGCAAAATGCGTATATGAAGTAATCTTACCCTCGTGGGGGCGCGCTCATGTGATTGGCTTAGAATGAAGGAGACATCTGATTGGCTCTAGATAGAAAGAATTACAAGTACGAATCGGGTGACCGTCAGGGGAGTCTCAAAAAACCCACACACGAATGCACAGCGATCCGTGCACAGAGAGCGGGTTGTGTTAGCAGGTTCAGAGGATTTAAACGGAAAACAAATATGTGAGGATCAAAAATACATATGTAAAACTTTTTTCTGTATTTGGATTGTATTTACATGTATATGAAACGGAACACATTTGTGTGTGCATTGAAAAACACAAGTGTGGATCCGGAAATACAAGTGTGAATCCTTCTGTGTGCATGTGTGTATTATGAGACTGTTCTGAGCCCATATCAGTTACCATGGAGATCTAGCCTGCTAAAAGAGAACCAGCGTCGTAGGAACGGAAACCCAGAGTTTTCCCTGAAGTTAGCTCGCTAAGCGAAAATTCGTCGTACAGGCCTCAGGTTGACATAAAGGATTGCATGTCTTGAAGGAACTTCCCGATAACACGTGCACACACACACACACACACGCGCGCGCACACAAACACACACACACACAACTTACAGCCTGTGCTTGTTTTATGAAGTCTAGGATGTCCTCTTTAAGAGCTTGATGGATTTTAGCTGGTCCTTTATCATCCCATAGACACACCGCATGGACGTCTCTGGGGAACAAGAAGGAAATGGGACATCAATAAAGTTTATTTGAAGTGGGTTAGTCAAACTGTGAACCTTAATCTCTGGGACACTTTTGTTAGCCTTTACTCAACATGTTACAAACACAATTCATATATATTTTCAGAAATATCTCCTGACATATGTCATATTAAACTCTACTTGTTCCTGTCCCCTCTCCTCCAGAGAAATCATCCACTTCCTCTTTTTTTCTGTAGGTTGTTGTCAAGGTTGAATATTAACAACAATCATTTCATCTTCCTCTCACCTGCAACATACTGAAATCATTTGTTTTACATCAAGTAATAGCAGTTGAAGGGATTTGATGGAAATCTTGAAAAAATGTGTACATCATATTGCTATTATCTACAGTATATGGCATCTAGGTATTTGCTACATTTAGATATGTTCTCTGCTTTCTCTTGAGTCATTTATATCTAGATATTCATATTTTTTTAAATCATAAAATAAATGTGTGAATCTATGTTTGTACATGTATTAACATTGAGACTAATCTGACTACAGAGATAATGGCCTCAGTTCAGCGTCAGAGACACAAGGCGGTAAAGCAGTAGGTATTTTGTAAATATAGCACAGAGGGAAAGTGATATTCATTTGGTTTTAGGAGGCTTCTTCAAGCCTTTACATTATACAACCCCCCTACCAAAACCCCAACTATCCCTTTCAGCTTTGTAAGAAGACTCTGTGCCATCCCAGGTTATAATTGGGAAACAATCCAACAAGGCTAACCTACAACTGTGTGTCATTGTGTGGAGATTACTTAAGAACAGCAACTAAAGCTATCTATCTGCTTAATGCACTCAAATAGTTGGCTGTGATTTGTGAGCGGTCTTCAGGATGTGAGATGCTGATCCTGCAGTGGAACCCAGAGGTAAAACAGAGGAGAGTAAGGAACAGCTCCGAGTGCTTCACTTACGAGAACAGGTCGAACCACTGTTGCTTGGTGACGGCTTCCTGTCTGAGCAGCTTGAGAACGATGGGCCGCATCAGATCCCACTTGTCCTCAAACTGCAGGGACCCCTTGTTCTGGAGGTGAGATATGGGATGGGTGGAGAGGGAGGAAGAAGAGGAAGGATGAAAACCAGCAAACACAAAGGAGGTGTTGGGTGAGAGAAGGAAAGAGAAGACAGAGATGCAGAGATACACAAAGACATGCATAAAGACTGAAGACACATCAAGGGTTGGGATCAAGTATAGGCCGGTTAGATTTTCAAATAGAACGGCTCAAATCCACTTCACATCCACTAAGCCAACTTGTTCTCTCAATATCTATTATTAAGCTGTAGACCAGTGCTTCTCAAAGTGTGGTCCGCGGACCACTGGTGGTCCGTGAGTATATTGGTAACATTTGAAATAAATTAATTGATTTAAGTTTTCCGCACTCTCGCGGGAATATCTCCGCAATGGAGCGAGCTTAAGTTTCAGTTCGTCACACATGTTGCCACTTGTTTGTACCATTTTCAGGCGATTTGTAATCTGTTCTAGAAAAACGATGTGTTTTTTGATATTGTGGAGTTAGGTGGTCCGCGAGTGTTTTTGTATTGGTTAAGTGGTCCTTGGTATGAAAAAGTTTGAGAAACACTGCTGTCGACTATAAGTCCATAGTAAGTCTTGGTCACAGGCCAAGTTGAAGACTGCCCAAGTGGGAGCATCACTGACCGGAGGGGTTTAACCAGGAAAACATATTCATATGTCAATTCAAAATAGTAGTTAGAAAAACCTATATTTCAAATTCTCATTTAAGCCATCCTGAAAAGTATTTTCACATAAAAATATCAAGATCCGAGTTGTCCAACAAAAACATTCCGAAACTCTAAAAAAAGGAAATATTCAGTTTTTGAATGACATAAAATAAGATAAGATAAGATGGACTTTTATTAATCCTCGTGGGGAAATTGTTTCTCTGCATTTGACCCATCAGTGTGCTGCCATTTTGAACGGCGCCCGGGGGGGCAGTGTAGGGAGCGGTGCCTTGCTCAGGGACACCTCGGTAGCACTTGGTCTTGCCGGGACTTGAACTGGTGACCTTCCAGTTACCAAGCCAAGTCCCTATGGACTTCGCCACCAGCGCCCCTTCACCGAGGAGCAGCAAATCCTCACAGCCAACAACATTTGCATTTTCATAAAAACCTGCTTCATTTATTATTACTGCCAATGCCTATGTATTTTTGGTAATACTAATCGCTTATATTTATTTTATCTTTGGAAAACCCTATCATTTATCATAACAAAAAGCTCAAAATGTTAAACATTTGTTAGCATAATAGCATACCAAGATTAGCTTATATTTATGTTGATTTAGGCTGCTGCTGATGCTCTAACTAGGTTACAAAAAACGTTTGGTTTGTTTCATAATGATGTTTATGAAAATTGTCTCAAGTTAGGGACAAAAAAACACACAATTTCTGCAGTTCTGTAGCAAATAAGAGAAGGTGTGCAAATATGCGTTCATTATTAGGTCTGAGAGTCGGGTTTGAGCGGTGCCAATGATTCTGGGTCCATTTGCTGATTCTTGTGTTTTCTCTGGGGAAAGTGTGCAAACATGTTGAATGTGAAGAGTGGTTTGATGAGTGGGTATGCTGCAGTTTAAATGCTTTGTGAAGGACAGGTGCTGGTGGATCTCTACTGAAAGATCTCCACCTGTTCCACCAGCCGTCCCTCCAGCTGAGCGAGCCAGAGAGAGGGTGGGGGGGGGGGGGGGGTGTCAACTAATCAGGCATATGGCATTATTTAAAGGTCTCATGTCATGGCCATTTCTACTGATCATAGTTCCATTGTTGAGGTCTACTAGAATAGATTTACATTGTTCAATGTTCCAAACTCACATTGGTTTCTCACAGCATCTGTGTATAGTCTGTGTATTCACTCTCTGTCCTACACGGCTTGGTGGAGCTCCTGCCCCCCCCCCCCCCTATGAGCCCACTGTGCTCTCTGATTGGTCAGCTCGCCCACTCTGTTCTGATGAGTCCACCACCGTTACAGCGGAACATCAGTGTTTATGTGTTTCAATGGCGTTTGTTAGCAACCAGAAAATGAGACCAGTGATGACAAACAGATGAGAATGCTGCGTGGGGTCTGGGGGCCGTGTTGGCGGGACGTTACGGGGCTCGCTGGTCTGCCCTTTGAGGCTCGAGGAGCGGACAGTGTGAGCTGGGTTACTGGTGTCGCTTCCTGGTTGCTGCGTGGGGTCTGCGAGACAGCGAGACACCGCGGAACTCAGCCTGAGCACACACACACACACACACACTCACAGCCTGAGCTCCGTGTGTGTGTGTGTGTGTGTGTGTGTGTGTGTGTGTGTGTGTGTGTGTGTGTGTGTGTGTGTGTGTGTGTGTGTGTGTGTGTGTGTGTGTGTGTGTGTGTGTGTGTGTGTGAGGAGCTCCACAGGTTGGTCCATTTGGACCTGGGTATTGTTACGTCACTATACTCAGGAAGAAAAAAAAATGGAAAAAGAAAATGTCCAACGAGGCGTTCTGGGGCAGCATAGACAGGTCTTCTCTGTGTTAGAGTTTTACTCGCTACAGGGTGTACTTTGAGAGTTTGTGACTGCAGACCGTTTACATGCAGGAAAACCTTCATCACACACAAGGGGAAGGTGAAAACCGGAAAAGCATGACATGGGACCTTTAAAAGAGCAACACATTTAAGAAATGCATTCAGACGTGTTGGTTTTTTCCACTGGAACTCATTTGTTGTTACAAAGAGGGCACCGATGGAAACCAGTACCGACCACCAGGTACCAGTTCAAAAGTGACGGAAGCCGGGGCTCCTGGAACGCTCCCTGGGGGCTCTTCAACAGGTCTATCTGCCGAAGGACACCCGGGAGGCCAGCTAGCCGCCCATGGTGTGAACACACAGCGCAGGGAACAGCAGAGAGGCTGCTGGGAGCTGCTGTGTCTCTGGGCCTGGTGGACACTATGGAGAATTATTCTGTCTTGAGACAAGCTTGATTCATTAGCTAGTCGAAATAAAAGCGCTATCCTGTTAGCAACATTTCACGCAAGTGAAGCTGCTTGGTATCTTGTGTCCAAGTCTATGTCCCCTTCGAGCCCCCTGCTCCCCGGTGTTGGGTTCAGGTCTTCTTACGGTTCTTGTGAGGATACGGTTGTTTGTCGCCGGGATGCATGATTAGAGAACCCGTAGCCTACGGTTCGGGTTTGGTTAAAGACGGAGACATATTGGGGGGTTTTCGAAGCATGTGGGTGCAATTTGTGTCTCCGACACAACACAGGACTTTAAAAACGACAACGGTAACAAATGTGACTTCAGTCGCGCCTATTTGTGCGCGTATTTAATATATTTACACTATTAGTGCATACACGTTTATGCCACAATAGGGACTACACAATGATATACACTAATAGTTCAAACATACAAAAACGAATAGTTCAAATCTGTTCGCAAATATGGGAAATAACATATATTGAAGTGCTTCTTACCTTTAACAAATTAGACGACGCCATGTTTCTTCAACTTATCGCCTCGCGGAATCTCGCGAGACAGGTGCTACAGCTGGCTCAGGATGAGGTCATGGGAACCCTCACAGCGCACACTCACACTGACAGGGGGATACACACTCTGATCCTTTACTGCAGTAACAGTTCTGTTATCACACTGTGGAAATAGTATATATACTGTGTATGGGAAACACTACACTTCTCTTTATCCAAGTCTAGTATTTGACTGGTTCACTATTGTTTTCCCTGGACAGGAAGGGTATGAAGAATTGTATACCTGTAAAGTAACTAAAGCTGTCAGACAAATGTGGACACGTATATATATATACCATTGATATGTCATGGAGTAAAAGTAAATCTACACATAAAGGAAATATGCAATAACATAAATGTACATAAAATAAAAACAGCCTTATGTACTCGTTTAAACATTGAAAATCCTGCAGGTAACATTCCACAATAAATTAATCAACACTTTATTCGGCAAATATTACCTATATTGAGACACCATTTTACAAATCTTGTGGATTCTATATTGTTCACAGATCTACTCTCTCTGACAATGTACTGCACTACTTCATCAAGGATTTGTACCACTGGACTTATTTTCACATTTATTTACACATTTCTTAAAATGTGTTCAGTTTTTTTATTTCATGGAGATAGTTTCCCATCTGATTCCCATCTTGTGTGAAGAGTTTGGATCTCCACTACTCTTTCTGAGGTACAGTTACATATCTTTGACAATGCTGCCTCCTCCTGGTTTCATTGTACACCACATTGCATCAAAGTAACCTCCCTGTAAATTACATGATTTATATTATCAACAACTTAGTTGGCTTTCACTTGAGAAAAAGTCAAACTAAAAAGTGACAGCATTAAATATACTCAAAGAACAGAGCAGAAAAGTACTCTGAATTGCCCTTTTCAGAAAACATGATATTTTTGGATTATAAATATTGATGCAGTCATGTGTTCATCACGTTGATATTGCAACCAGTAGAGCTTTTGGTTCATTTGAGTTACTTTATAGCCCTATAATAATTTCATATATAATAATAAATCATAATTGTTTAGTTGGTTAATATTTTGTATTAATAATGTAAAAGCAATACATATATTGGAGTCAAAGCACATTTGTGCCACTAAATGTAGTCTAGTTTAAAGCATATAATGTCAATCCAACACCAGTCATAATCTCATCAGCAGATAGTAGGTGAGAGTAAATTACCAGAAGAAGCTAAATGATTTGTGTCTCTCATCTTCAGTGCTTATCTTCAAGTGCTGCAGGCTGCCTTTAACACATTAGAGATACATGAACGAGAGAAAGTAATCTTTGCCCTCTGCAGCCGTTAATCATTCAGTGACAGTCAAGGAGTTAAAAGCTAGTAACAGTTAAACTCAGAGACAATTCCTCCATCTCCGGTGTGGCAACATGGCTACTGATCAGTCTGAGGATGTCGACAAGGACCTAAGCAGCGGCAGCCAAAGCAGTGGCCTCATGGAGAGGATCAGGACGTTCAGCCCCAAGGAGGTCTTCACCTGGTGAGTGAGAGCAGGAGGAGCATGTTAGCAGCACATCGTGTTCACTTTGAGCAGTAAAGACAAGCTGTTTCTATGTTTTCAGTCAGACTGTCAAACTTTTCCATTGATTACAATCACCAATGGTCCAGGAAGTATTTAGATTCTTTACTTAAGTAAAAGTACTAATACCACAATGTATAATACTACACTACGAGTTAAAGTCCTGATTTCAGAGCCTTGGTAAAAGTATTTCATCAGCAAAATGAAGGATTCAAAAAGTAAAAGTATTCATTGTACAGCAAAGGTTCCCTGTCACTGTTTCACTATTATAATGATGATTAACATTACCGCTGCATTCATTTATATGTTGCATATAACTGCTCTAATTGTTTAAGGTTGTGCTTTTTGTAACTCCTTTGTTGGGTGGTTTAATCTACAGCAGGTTGTTGAACTTCTACTTGGGTTACAAAAGTCCTGCATTCAAAATGTTCCTCAAGTAAAAGTAGAAAAGTATTCTCATCAAAACATAGTTTAAAGTAGCGACAGTAAAAGTAGTCATTGTGCAGATTGGTCCATTTCAGAATAATATATATGATATGTTTTATAATGATTGATCATGAAAGTGTTCTCAAAGCTGGTAAAGGTGCAGCTAGTTTGAATGACTTTGTATACTGCAGGGTAGCTGGTGGATTTACTCCAGGTGGAACTAGAGTCTGATTCAACACTTGATTATATTTCACATCATTAATCCACATCTCTGAAGTAACTAAAGGTATTAGATACATGTAGTGGAGGAAAAGTACATGATTTAACTCTGATTAGCAGTGGAGAATAAGTACAAAGTAGCAAACAAATAAAATACTCAAGTAAAGTACTAGTATCTAAAAATGGTACTTAAGTAGAGTACTTGAGTAAATCTACTTATTTACTTTACACCACTAAAGATGCCAAATTAATGAAGCGGAGTCCAATTAAAATATTAGCTTCCAGAATGTAGCAGTAAGTAGCATATAATAAGTACATGTATAAATGCTGACATGGAGCCCTCTGTCTCTCAGGCAGTTGGCCAGGACGCTGGCCATGGGTCAGGGCCTGGCGGGGCTCATCTGTGGGACGGCCATCTCCTCCCAGTACCTGGCCTCCAGCTTCCATGTGAACACTCCCATGATGCAGAGCTTCCTGCACTACACCCTGCTGTGTCTCACCTACACCACCATGCTGCTCTGTAGAACAGGTAACACAACCACAGGGACTAAACACACAAGATAATGTGTGTAATTCAAATGACAGTATATGCTATAACTCTGGCCAAAAACTGAAGAAACAGTGTAACAAAAACAGGCGTCAGGGGTGAAATGCAACAAAGTAAATTCACTCATTGTAAATGTGGGGGAAACTTCTGAAGCAATTGGAGTCAGGACTCAGAGACACGAGGAGAGCTGGAGCTTTGATGGCAAACACCGACGGTTTATTTGGAGCTTCGGCCGGAGAATTCACAAGACTTGTCACGGGCCACGGTCTGACCACACGGTTGAGATGCCACTATCAATTCTGAAGAACTCTACCCCAGACCCATGTGTTTAGCTAGTTCACAGAGCATCATCAACATGCTGCATAACAAGATAGAATCATAACACCGCTATCAGCTGACGCCAACAGGCAGGAACAGGGAGACAGAACACTGAGAGCACAGCAGCCAAGGTTACAGGTGCGTGTGCTCAGTCAGGACAGTTTGAACTGATGGGTCAAAGTTATGGGCCTTGGGAAATATTTCCCCAACAGTAAATGTATTTCATTCTACTCCACTGTAAGTCAGCAGTGGTGAAAGAAGAGCTCTGATGCTTTACTCAAGTAAAAAGGGGAAATACCATAGTCCATAAATACTCTATCAGAAGTACAAGTTCTGAGTTCAAAATAGTACTTTAGTAAAAGTACAGACTTATTATTATCAAAATGTAAATGTTATTTTCATGCAGAATGGCTCCTTTCAGGTTGTCATATTCATAAAGATATGATATTATACTGTTTATCACCGACAAATAGATCTAAGACAATTATACAGTAAAGGTAGAAAGTAGAATATAAAGAAGTAAACTCAATGGTTAGATTTTTGTCTTAGTACTTGAGTAAATGTACTTAAATACATCCCACAACTGCACTCAGAGGGGAAATGTTGTTCTACTTATTACTCCACTAACTTTTCTAAAAAGACTTTAAAAGAATATAATGGATTCTTATAAATAATAAATAAATACATTCCTAACAGTTATAGTTGCACCTTCACCAACTACAACAGCAACATACACATCAATGCATCAGCAATAATATTCACATGTATTCATTTCATGTATGACATTACACTTCAGTTTGTTGGTTAAATGGGAAAATGATTGTGCAAATGTTGTAATAATGAAAGAAGTAAAGATGGCCTGCAACAGGGAGCAGCAATGATTCAGTGTCTAACCGTTCTGAGGCTTGGTGATGAAACATAAATGTCGATACTGAAGTTCAGGTTGCTCCCCTTTAAAACGTAGGGGATGGCAATATTTTACAGATCCTGAGGAAGCGCTGGTGGAAGTACCTCCTGCTGGGGCTGGTGGACGTGGAGGCCAACTACGCTGTGGTCAAAGCGTACCAGTACACCACCCTCACCAGTGTACAGGTGGGTGCAGGCTGTGTTTTGTGTGGTTGAAACTTTTGTTGTGAAAAGGGATCATATTTATTTAAAAATGTTACCCTTGTGATTCCCTTAAAAAAAAAAAGTGATAACACATCTCTTTTGAATCTAAATCTTCAGTTCTGATAAATTACCAAATATGAATTCATTTGAAAACGTTTCTTACTGTTTTTATGAAAACCACAACATTTTGAGTAAATATGTCAAGTATTAATATTATCATAGATTTCGATGCATTGCATCAAACACTATAGCAGCAAGGCCCCTTGTAGGAACCAGGGAAATAGCATCTGCCCCATACAGTATAGCAAACGTGAGAAAAGGGATCAATCTTTTCTAAATTAATGTATGTTCAATTCTGTGAACAGGGATCTAGATGGAAAGTCTAATTAAACAAAATGTGTGATTATATGGTGCAAAAGCCGTGGGATCAGACATCGTAGTAAGCTAATAAAACCAATATATTTACAATAACTCAATGCAAGAAGTTTCAATTACATTGCTTTGGGACGTTTTACATGCAGGCTCCGTATTTTTGTTTGTGTCAGTAAAGCACAGATGTTTATCAATCCATTTGAAATGCTTGAGATTCCTCTTTCCAAAGAGTTAGAACTGTTATTGGAACTTGTGTATGTAATTGATCTGTATTTATTGATATTTGTGTTTCTATTTAAATCTCTAGCTGCTGGACTGCTTCGTGATCCCTGTCCTGATACTCCTGTCCTGGTGGGTTTTAAAGGCTCGCTACAGGCCGGTCCACTACGTCGCCGTCTGCATCTGTCTCATGGGGGTGGGGGCCATGGTGGGGGCCGACCTGCTGGCTGGAAGAGACCAGGGCTCCAGTAAGAATTTCCCTCAAGGACTGGCTCACTCTCTCACAGAGGAAATCAACGCCCGATGAACTTAGCCAATAACTCTTTGATCAGGGCCTGCTTTTATTAATCTGTGACCTTTAATATTTAAACTGAAACTGTCTAACACATGACAGAAACACTCTAAGATGTTTCCCTTGTGGTGTCCTCAGCCTCCAACATCCTGTTAGGGGACGGTCTGGTCCTGATCAGTGCCTCGCTGTACGCCGTGTCTAACGTGTGTCAGGAGTACACGGTGAAGAACCTCAGCAGGGTGGAGTTCCTGGGCATGGTCGGCCTGTTTGGCACCATCATCAGCACCATACAGATGTAAGTGTTTGTGGGTGTGACCAGGAGTCTCATCCAACATGTGGTTCATCTCTATGAACAGATATCCAGCCTATGAGGGGACCACCCACTGGCCCTTGTCCCCAGAGGCTTATCGGCGTCAGACCCACAGCAGATGGGTTCTGAGATTGACATTCTGTTGAATCTGTTGTTACTTCTTCTCTTTACCCAGGGTGATCCTGGAACGTAAAGAAATTGCTGCAATCCAGTGGAGCTGGCAAATTGGTCAGTACTCCTCTGAACAGAAACACTTTGAAAACCAAACATCAACAATAATGCCAATGACCAGCTATTTCCCTAGTGGTAAAAAAGTTGAACATGAAGAAGCTTAATGTAATCTATGGCTCCATATTGACTATCTGTTGATGACCTGCACAAGCAAAACAAACATTGGTTGGTTCAATGTGGGACCTTTATATCACAGCATCAGTTTAACCAAAGCATTTATTTTTTATAAAATCAATGCCTCCGTCTCTTAACAGCTGTGCTCCCCCCTCAGGGCTCCTGTTCGCTGCCTATGCACTGTGTATGTACACTCTGTACAGCTGTATGCCCATAGTGGTGAAGCTGAGCAGCGCCACCGCCGTCAACCTCTCCCTGCTCACTGCAGACCTTTTCAGCCTCTTCTGTGGGGTCTTCCTCTTCCAGTACAGTGTGAGCACACACACACACACACACACACACACACACACACACACACACACACACACACACACACACACACACACACACACACACACACACACACACACACACACACACACACACACACACACACACACACACACACACACACACACACACACACACACACACACACACACACACACACACACACACACACACACACACACACACACACACACACACACACACACACACACACACACACACACACACACACACACACACACACACACACACACACACACACACACACACACACACACACACACACACACACACACACACACACACACACACACACACACACACACACACACACACCCACACACACACACACACACACACAATGTGGATTATTCTGCTGCTGAAAGAAGTCCTAAACAAATCCACTATTTCGTCCTGTTTGAGCAACATTCTCCCCCCCCCCCATCTGGGTCACGGTGACCATCTGAATGTTATAGCAATACAGCAGCATCAATGAATAACAATAATTGTTAAAGTACAATCTTGTGTCAAGTGTTTTTGCACAGCTGGATGCATATGTATGAGTCCAAAGTGCTTACAATACATGCACAAGTTCTCTTCTACTTTACTCACTTTTTAGTCAATTCTCATGTGCTACAGGTTTCAAGTTTCTACATCACATTTTTGTAAGTGGCATGCTGGACAATGATTGGCTCCAGACTAGTTGTGATGTCATAATCCCAAACAGAACTTACTTTGCTCCTGTCATTACATCTCTATATAACCTCCCTCCTCTCCCCCTCAGTTCTCCGGGCTCTATCTGGTCTCGCTGGTGATCATCCTCATTGGCTTCATCACCTTCAACGCTGTGCCAACACCCACTGACCACACAGACCCCGCCACGGCTTCTTTCCCCGTCTGTGAGGACGGTTACTATAGTTACCCTGTGGCCTATCAGAATGACATCATCAAGCAGGAGGTGGCTGTGAGGATCAGCACTGAAGGGGAGGGGGAGGCAGAGGAGTGGAGGAACGACAAGGAGAAGAGGAGATCAGGGAGATGTAAGGAGGATGTTGGACTCAGCACTAAAATGTGACATTGTCTTTTTTTTTTTATTAAACATTCATTTATTTATAAAATGTTGCTTAAAGGAACGCACAATACAGACATAATGAGAAGATAAAAGAGCACATACAACAGTGGTACCGTACACTTAATTGTTCTTGCTTCTGATGTTTTTGTGGTCATCCAAGTTGAGTTATAAATCTATTTTACATGTTCATTGTTCGCAATAAAAAGTCAGCTGCCTGACTGTCCTTTACCCACCGACTCCATGAAACGGCACACAACCTGTTTGCTCAAAAGACGGGAACAAGATTTACACAAATACAACTACCCTCACTCTACACGCTACAGACACAGAGGATTTGCCTCATTGGGTGTTCCTGACGCTATGTCTTTTTGATCACTAAACAGTGGTGTAATATTACTATACACAGCTTTATTGACCTTAAGTACAATTTTGATGTACTCGTACTTTAGTTGAGCGTTTCCCTTTTATGTATACACCTCAGAGCTATGTATTGTATATATCTTTATCTGACAGCTTTAATTACTTTACAGATTCAGATTATTAATAAAAAATATAAATCATCTAATACATTCTGATTTGATTTGTTATTATAGCTACAAAAGTATATTCAGTTATTTAAAGTACCTCCATCTTTAGTAGCTGCAGAAATAAAGTGATAAATACATGAACGCTTTAATAATATATATAATATAATATAAAAGGATGATATCTTCATTTTTGAATTCTGCATAATAATTACTTACTTTTTTCAGTTTTGATAATAGGTTTTAAATGCATTACAAATATGTGTAACTAAATATTTTTTAAACTGTCAAATTGCTAGTCTTACTGATGTAAAACATCTGAATAAAGTATTACTATATCTGATTACTTATGTAACTGAAGAAAATATACAAAATCCTCTTGATAAGAAAAATACATCATTAACAGTGATGTAGTAGTAGTAGTAGTAGTAGTAGTAGTGGTAGTGGTAGTAGTAGTAGTAGTAGTAGTAGTAGTAGTAGTAGTAGTAGTAGTAGTAGTAGTAGTAGTAGTGGTAGTGGTAGTAGTAGTAGTAGTAGTAGTAGTAGTAGTAGTAGTAGTAGTAGTAGTAGTAGTAGTAGTACACAGGGTTGGCACCAAGTCCTTGACCCCCGTCCCTCAACGACGGCCACCACAATCACCGAAGCAGAGACGTTCACCATCTCCCCCATCTTCATCACCATGCCTACCACAATCATCCGAACCAAAACGTCCACCACCTCCCCCCCCCTTCAAGACAGCATCTGCTGTCTCCGAAGCCTGATAAGGATGTGTGTGTACAAAACGCAACAAACTCTTACTGATATGTGCTGGGTCCAGGCTCAAGGGCGTATGGCACTCTCAACTCTTTCCAGGACATGTCGGGGCCCTGCCTGCCAGTAGCTTTGCCGATATCTGTGTTGATGGGTAATAGATTAAGAGCGGTGAATCATCTTAGATACAGGAAGCACTCAAACGTTTGTGTGAGTTTATCTAATTTAGCAGTGATTCCATGTCAGCCACAGCTTGTCACAAAACATCTTACTGATAGTGTGTTTAACAAACTTAAACTAGCTTTATTAAATGTCAGGTCTTTGGCAGGAAAAACATTTGTAATCAATAATTTTATCACTGAGCACAATCTCGATTTTATGTTTTTAACAGAAACTTGGATTGAACAAAATAACAGTGCAGCTGTTCTTATCGAATCAACCCCTCCCAACTTTAGTTTTATGAGTCAGGAAAGAATGCATAAGAAAGGGGGTGGAGTTGCTATTTTGTTCAATGATTCCCTTCAATGCAGGAAGACAGCGTATGGAAACTTTGATTCTTTTGAATATGTGGCCCTTCAGCTGAAATGCTCCTCTCGAGCTCTTTTCCTAAATATCTATAGACCACCCAAATACTGTGCAAGCTTTTGTGATGACTTTACTGAACTGCTGTCTATAGTGTGTATTGACTTTGACCGTCTAGTCATTGTTGGTGATTTTAACATCCATGTTGACAACCCCCAGGACAGAGGGGCTAAAGAACTGTTTTGTGTTCTTGATAGCTATGGACTGACTCAGCATGTGACGGAGCCCACACACAATAAGGGGCACACTCTGGACTTAATGATCTCAAAGGGTCTGAATATCTCTAAGGTTGTGGTGACTGATGTTGCACTCTCTGACCATTCCTGTGTTTTCTTTGAGAGCTCTATTTCTGTTCACAAAAATGTTCAAAAAGAGGTAACCACAAAGCGATATTTAACTGAAAATACTAGGGAAATGTTTACTCAAATTTTTCTTCCACACTTACCCCTGCTAACATCTCAGTAAATGAGCTAGTAGATCATTTTAATTCAAAAATTAAAAATGTTATAGATGCCAATGCTCCAACTAAGGTAAAGGAAGTGTCTGGCAAGAAAATATCTCCATGGAGAAAGGCCATGAGCGTGAGAGCAGAAAAAAGAGAGTGTTGAAAAGCTGAACGCAGGTGGCGAAAAACAAATCTCCAGGTTCACTTTTAAATCTATAAAGAGAGACTTGGCCTTTATAATTTGGAATTGAAAAACACACGACAATCATTCTTCTCTGACATCATTACCAAAAACAAAAACAACGCACGTGCCTTGTTTGCTACCGTCGACAGACTAACTAACCCCCCAGTGTCACAACAGCGTTGCAGTCGGGAAGAAAAGCTATGTGGAGCGGCACCTCACCACTTCATAAGGAGTCTAACCGTGACACTTTTCGAAATCCCATTTGTGTCCCCCCACTTTACAAATATGTTTATTATTCTTTTTTAACGCAAGCTGTCATCGCCACGGAGGAGCACACAGCCTCTGTGAGCGAGCGAGACAGAGAGAGAGAGAGCGAGAGAGAGAGCACACCTTTATCTATTTAATATAGCCTAGTTGTAAAAAATAAAGTAAGAAATCATTCCAATGTGTACTATAGGACAGTAAAAAAAAAGAAGTTTAAAAGGGGAGTAATTAGTAAAATATGCGTAAATAAAAAGAAAGAATGCTAACTAGGTAACATAAGATCAGAATAAACAAGGTTAAATGACTTGTTATTGGTTGTGATCATATTCTAAAGATGTTTGGATTATTGAAAAGTATACAGCTCCCTTTCATCTGAGAGTTGAGAGCTGTATCCATAAATTCATTTTGTGCTCAAAGTGCACCAGATTGATGCATTTCACTTCAACATTTAAAAAACATCTTCCTGGGGGAGCATGCCCCCGGACCCCCCTAGAGGAGGTGAGGACCCCCCTAGAGGATGTGAGGTCCATCCCCAAATAAAGCAGGTTCAAATAATTAGATTGAATACATGTTATTTGAGTAAACACTGAAAACGGGTCCCACAGACCCAAACAAAGGTTAAAAGTAAGCATATCATAATGTTAAAATGTGCTAAATATATACATTGCAAAAAAATAAAAAAGAGGAGTAAAAGTAGCTCACGACTTGTTTTATTTTTTGAGAGTAGCTCTCATCCTAAAAAAGGTTGGAGACCCCTGTTATAGAACGATACATTTGACAATTTTAAGCTTGGCCTACCATTTTATTGGAGCGATGAGGAACAGGCGGGGCTTGAAAAGGCCCACCTGTTCAAAGTGGGGAATGAGAGGACAAGTTTGAGAACCACTTAATGATAAAGACCTAGAGGACATTATACAACATCTGAAATCCTCCTCCTGCTGCCTTGATATTATACCAACAGGATTTAAAAAAAAGAAATTCATTGTATGGCCTCAGATCTACTTCATATAGTAAACAAGTCTCTTCACACAGGTATTTTTCCACAGGCCCTGAAAACTGCAGTCATTAAACCGCTCTTAAAAAAGAATAATCTAGATGCTTCAGTAATGAACAATTACAGGCCCATATCAAACCTCCCATTTCTAGGTAAAATCATTGAAAAAGTAGTTTTTCAACAGTTGAGTAACTTCTTGCATTTAAATAACTGTTTCGATGTGTTCCAGTCAGGCTTTCGTCCAAACCACAGCACTGAGACTGCTCTTGTAAAGGTCTTTAATGACATCCACTTAAACACAGACAGTGGCAGAACTTCAGTGTTAGTATTATTAGATCTCAGTGCTGCGTTTGACACTGTTGACCACAGCATATTACTAGACCGACTGGAAAACTGGGTGGGACTTTCGGAAACAGTTCTAAACAGTTCTAGGTTTGAATCCTACTTAAAGGACAGAAAAAACTTTGTTCTATAGGTTCCAAGGCTCCATCTTGTGGCCTCTTCTCTTTAACGTCTACATGCTACCACTGGCTCAGATAATGAAGAACAACAAAATAAGTTACCATAGCTATGCAGATGACACACAAATTTACGTAACAATTTCACCAGGAGACTATGCTCCAATTCAAACACTGAGTAAGTACATTGAACAAATCAATGACTGGATGTGTCAGAACTTTCTCCAATTAAACAAAGATAAAACTGAGGTAATGGTTTTTGGAGCCAAGGCAGAATGTATAAAAGTTGTCCATGCTTTTATCTTCAGTAGACTGGACTACTGTAATGGTGTCTTTACAGGTCTCACTAAAAAATCTATTAGGAAGCTGCAGCTGATTCAGAACGCCGCTGCTCGAGTCCTCACTAACACTAAGACAGTGGATCACATCACTCCTGTTCTGAAGTCTTTACACTGGCTTCCTGTGTGTCAAAGAATAGATTTCTAAATACTGCTGCTGGTTTATAAAGCACTGAATGGTTTAGGCCCAAAATACATTTCTGACCTCCTGCTAAATGATGAACCATCCAGATCTCTCAGGTCTTCAGGGACTGGTCAGCTGTCTGTCCCCAGAGTCAGAACTAAACACGGTAAAGCAGCGTTCAGTTATTATGCTCCAAATATCTGGAACAAACTCCCAGAAACCTGCAGGTCCGCTGCAACTCTGACTACTTTTAAATCCAGGCTGAAGACTTTTCTTTTTGTCGCTGCTTTTAATTGAACTATTCACATCTTAAACTGCACTGTAACTTTTATCCATGTATTTTTTCTTTTAATGTTTATTTTATTATCTTTTCTTTTTAATGACTGTTTTTAAATGCCATTTTCTTAAAGATCCCATCATATACTTTTCTGGTTATTACCCGTCCCCTTGTGTGTTATGTAGCTTTTTCTGCATGTAAACGGTCTGCAAAGTCACAAACCCTCAAAGTACACTCTGTAACACAGAAAATATGTGCCTATACTCCCCCAGAATGCCTCGTTGTAGA